TGCACCTGGAATCAAGTCTTTGTGCTCCGGGACAGTTTGGCACAAAACCCCAAGAGAACTAGCTGACTTAGAAAGGAAACAGCACCACACAGCCTCACTCCACCTACCCCACCGCGTGTCTTCATTCTGTTCCACCCACCTCCACCCATCCCCTCCCGCCTTCCACCCAGGCCCCGGGGGGGCTCGGCGGCAGCCCCACGGACATCGCCTCGGCGCGGTTCGCCACGCTCCGCGGGTCGGCGCCCATGGCCATCAACCAGCGGATCAGCTCGTGCATCCTCTCCTCCTCCGTCGACGGCCCGCGAGCGAAACGCCCGGGGAACGCGGAACGCGGAACGGAGGCAACCCGAGAGGCCGCCCTCCAGGCCACACACGGCGACGCGTGGGCACGGCGGGCTTTTGGAGGCCGGTTTGCGGTGGCGTGAGGAGTGTGAGGGACATGGCCGCACATTCGGCGGCCTGAGTCTTGTATGGGGTTTTGGTGCGGCATTCAAAGAGTTTTTAGGTCACCATGGCATCAACTTGATTTTGTGTCTTCAAGATCTTCGAAGCACCTGCACGGCGCAGACCCGTAGCTTTTGGTCTTCGTGATGCTAGTTGGCCTCTGGAGCCAGGTCGGCTCCTTCTTGGCCCCCCCTGTCCGCCCGAGAATCCCCCCCGGGCTCCTCTTGCTTCCCACCGTGGCACAGCACCTCCGAGTGGGCTGCGGTCGTGGCGAGTGGGTCGGTTTCGAACGATTTCTGCAGAGGTGGTGCCGCGTCGGGGTGGGCGAGAGACACCTCTGGACGTTGGAGTGTGACGCGGTCCCAGCACTGTCGATCACCGTTCCCCCAAATGGCACGCTGCCGCACGTGCTTGCTTCAACATGTGCCGGTTCCTCCGGCGACGGCAAGCCCTATGGGCAAGGAAACGCGGAGCAAGGAAGGTCCACTGTCTACAACCGCGGCCCTGGCTTTGTAGTGCAAAATCCTGACTAAAGACAAAAGTTCTTCGGTAAAGGCGGCAAAGGCTACTACAGCAAGTCAATGGGTAGAGGGTAGAGAAGTATGTTGTGGCCTCACAGCTGTGCCACTAGGGATCACAGGGACGGTTCATCCAGGACCAGGGGGGAAAACGGAGACTTGTGACATCATTTGGCTGTGCTCGGCATCACCTCATCTTGACTTGAAGACGGAACAAGAACCTATACAAAGGAACCAAGCAAGATCCCAAGAGCAGGAAAAGTGGGAGAACAAAACTGGGGAATGGTCTCAAAAGAGACAAAGGGGTCGAGGCAGGCATTACAACCATGGACGTTCCTGCCAACCTGACGCACCAACCCCCACTGCCAATCTCCCCAATTTTTTCGGAAAGTAACGGCATTGTGCACGGTCGCCATCAGCGGGGTGCCATAGAGCGGGTGACAGCTCTTCCAGTCGAACTCCCTGGGAGCCAAGCTGGTGACCAAGTCGTGCTGCCCCAGCCGCAACCTGACCAACGTTCGCGAATGCAAGAGCGGCGTGGGAGCCAATTGGGCCCATGAAACAAAGGTTACCAAAAGACAAGACTGAACTGGTCCAAAAAAACGAAACACATTTTGCGGGCCCATTTCTTGTTCTAGGCCCATCCCTAATCAACTCTTCAACGTTGCCACATCTTGAAGTTTGACATAATGTGACATGGAACTAAAAGTTGCAACACGGACAATTTCAGCCAGTCGAACGGAGGAACATGAAGCATGCCACCCGATGCACCCTACCACTACCTCCCAACCCGTCAAGCCACGCTTGCCACAGCCATTCATGGTCAACTCTCATTGCTGTGGCTCGTATTGGCATCCACTGCTCCGGCACGTCTATGGCACCCCGCGACCCCGGTCCGGGCTTATGGGGGGGGAACAGCTGGGTGCTTGGAGCTACATGCGGCCACGACTAGTAGCTTCTTGTTCCTAGCCGTCAGGCCAGGGGCGCCCCTGTAGTTCACCTGCGTCCGATCGCTCCGTTCGTTGGCGATGCCCTTGATTCCTGGTGGTCAGATTTTGCGGGGGGGGGGGACATAACAAGATTCGCTTGTTTATCCCTACATCGACGATACCGACACCTGGAAGAGCCCGTGGCACGGAACGGGGGGGCGGGCGAGTAGTTCACTGGACAGGTGCGCCATGCTGCGCCCATCCAAAGAAGCAGCCCAATGCTCCACCGATGAATCAAAAAGCAATTTTTGCATCGTCAGGAGCAAGATGATCGATGCAAACATGTTGTTTCTCCCGTTTGGAGCTCTCTCTCTCTCTCTGCTGCTGCCTGAGATATGGACCATGCATTGGTTTCTCTGGGGCCCACCATCCAAATGGTCAAATGGCCGTTTCAGAGACGTGCTCGGCACCCAGGTGGGATCCGCGTCCGCATCCTTTCTCGGCACCAAGGACCCGCCGGGAGGCGACCCGCCACAGCTCAAAGGTACCGGTCAAACACCGGAAGACTCACCTAATAGCTTTTGCTTTCTACTAGGAACAAGTGCATCGCTTCTAGTAACAGGTGCCTTACTACTAGTAACAAGAAGCTATTAGAATTATAAAAATAAAAGCTTCTTGTTACTACTAGTAAGGCACCTGTTACTAGAAGCGATGCACTTGTTTCTACTAGCTTCTTGTTCCTAGTAAGGCCCTTGCTCCTAGTAGTAAGGCCAGGAGCCCCTACTTAGTAGCTTCTTGTTACTAGTAGCATGACAAACCAAATCATGTCCGTCAAACACACCCAACAGACCAACAGAGAGCAACGACCCCGCTCGCGCACCATCTGCGACCTCTTTGTTCATTTTTTTCCTTGGCTCTCCACTTTTCACGTTCAATCCATTGGCTCAACTCACCAATTCCGGGCATCAGCGCCATTTCAGCGGCGGCCCTCGGGCGCGCGCCTCGCGCGACAGCGCCTTTTCAGCCCCCGAGTGCGACAGCGCGAGGCCCCGGCTCTCTTTCCCATGCACTGAAAATTGGTCAAGAGACTCCGGCCTCACTCCTCGCTGTCATCATCTTCATGTGATTGGTAGTCCGGGTGATCTTTGATGAGCTGTAAGTCCTTCATGCGATCACTCTTGATGTGAAAGGCGCTGGCAATGATGTCGATCACACCAACCTTGGCTTTTCCGCGGTGCCCCACCAAGAAGTATCGATTCTTTTGATTTCGGAATGTGCATTCCAGCACGACCCGGCTGGCAGTGTGTGTGCATATGTGCCCCCTCCCAACCACCTCCGACCACTTTGGAACTCGCAACGGCAATGCTCGCGTAGCCGGTGGCGACGCCGATCTTCCCACAGTAGCCAATGTTCGCGAACATCGCCTGGACGATGCTACTAGTAACAAAGGGCATCGCTACTAGGAGCAAGGAGCTCCTGGCATCGCTAGTAGTAACAAGAAGCTTCAAGTGGCCTGGACGATGAGGAAAATGCCATGCTGCAAAAAGTTCCGTGGGAAGCCCACCACCTGAACACGGTGCCGGCCCGCGGCACCGTGTGGCAGCACGGAGCGGCACAAGCCGCCCACGCGGGGTGGATGACTTGACTGGGGCTGATAACAATTGAAAACCTCCGACACGAGTGATCCACGCCATCCAACTCTTTGCACCACTTCTTGAGAACGCATGAGAACACGCACATACATGCTCCCTGCCTGCAGAATGTAAGGGTTCACCATCATTGTGCCCACCAAGCCCACAATGAGAGGCACCCAATTGGGCACGCCAACCATGCCCCAATCCTTGGCCCAGGCATCATTGCAGTCCTCAGGTCGTCCGCGCAAGCCGCAGACCTGCGCACCTCCGTCGTCCAGCGCGTTCAGTGTGGTCCCAGGTGCCAACGATCCGCCGATCCACCGGTGTCAATGCCCCTTCATGCACGCGCGTTCCACCAGGCTGCGCGGTTTCGCACGTTTTGAACTCATCAAGGAAACTGCCTACGAGTGGTCTGTGAGCCCACCCAAGTTGAAACAAAGCCACCCATCGGATGCTTTCTGTCCCTCCCACTCCTTCCCACGTCGTCCGCCCACCGTCACCAACGCCTTCGCTATGTCTAACCCGCTGAGGCTCCACCCAGTAGGTGTACTCGTCCGGATCCTCGAAGTGGCACTCCGAGAACTTCAACGACAAGGTGGGAAAATGCCAGTACCTTGTTGTACTTCGGTGGCGCACCCCGGTGTACGGGACATATGCACGACAAGGTGGGTGAGGTGGGTCTGTGTCTGGAACTTTCATGGTTTGGAAAAGGAACCCTTGGTGTGGTAGGTGGCGCAGCTACAAAGGATCTAAAAAAGGGAGAGATGTTGCTTATTGTTGCTGGCTTTTACAAGCACCCAGCCGGTGACAAGGCTCACTGGCATGCATCGCCGGACTCGGGTTAGCCAGAAAAATGCTCCAGGACCACTCTGGACTAAAGGGTGGCCACCCTAAGCCCGAAGTGGCCTATATCTAGCCTCTTGAGGCAGCCAAAACTGGCTCAAACACCCACCTCCAAACCTGCTCCATCGATCTCCATCGTTCCACCTCGCGACACATAGATCAGCCCAATGAGGGTCGTCGCCAAAGAGGTGACGCAGCTCGCATACGCCAAGAGGTTCCCCAGAGCCGCCATCGCCGGAGCACCGCTGGTGGAGCACCGCGACCGACCCGGGGGGTTCACGCAGCTGAGGGTGGACGGCAGCGGCACGGTGCGGTCCTGATGTTTATGGAGCCCCATCTTAAATGACATCTCCCGTGCTTGTGCCATCGACTTTTTGTTGGAAGCCATGGTACGACATACAATGACCAGGGCGAGCCTGGTCGGGTTTGGGGTCTGATGGGGCAACCCAGGGCCATCCCCAAGTCGAGAGGCCAATACATCCACCTCAAAACACTTGCATCCATCCCAAGGAACGCGACGGAATGGGGCTCCTGGCACCGCTACGAACGGAGCGTTCGGACGCTACCTAGTAGTAAGGTCCATGTTTGTGAGTCGGGTCTCTCGAAGTCGGCCTCTGGTTTGGCCGAGCAGCAAAGCACAAGGTCGAGAAGGCCTGTGGCAGGTCGGGCGGCGAGGAGGATTGACCGGCAAAACGCGGGTGAACCACCAGCGAGCCTCATCACGGTGCTGTCCGCTTAGCTGGGCTCAGGTACTACCAGGTACTCCTGGTGGATTAGGGGATCTGTGGGATACTAGGCACTGCCACATTCTTGCCTCCACTCTTCTTCCACCCTTTTTTCACACGTTCCTCTCAAACGCTCTCTTGTTCTCGCTATCTCATCTTCGACTTCATCATCCCGTCCTTTCCTCCATTTTCCCCACCTCCACCTCCTCTCCCTGCCACCATCCCGCCCCCCCATGCCGTGCCGTGCGCCTTGAAGATCAGCAACCCCTCCCGGTCCCGCCGGGTGAAGCCCACCTTCGAAGAGACCTCGTGGCCGTGGAGCATCCGGGTGTCTTGGGTCCTCCCCGCGGAGCTTCGGACCAATTGAGCTCCGAACCCTCCAGGACCCTCCAGGACATGCGAAAAGAGACACGGACTGCCAAAAATGCGTTGAACAGAGGATCTGCGGCATGTGAATCAATTATGAACATGTTCAATGAAGAATTAATAATTCTCACATATTCTCACCCGTTTCTTTCCTTTTTGGGGGCCACATGCATCATGCAGCTTCGTTCCTCTTCAGCTCACCCTAGAAGACTCCGGTTGCTGAAGCCGCCAGTCCAGCTCCTTCCACCGTCCGTCAACCCAACGATTTGCCCAGCTTGGGCCCCCAAACGAAGATGTGGAGCAAGCCAATCATCCAGTTCACCTCACATCGCTGAGCACGCCGGCCCCGCCCCGCCGAAGCTGCAAAACCCGAAACGCAAGCGCCCTGGTGCTGAGCGACGGTCTCTTCGAAGAAATCTCACGTGGATGCCGAAACTGGCTATGGCGGCTATGGCTCTGTGTCTCCCTCCCAACCTATCGCGGCACCAAGGCTCTTCTGGCTCCTCTTCCCCCCACCCATCCATAGCTCAGCTCCACTGGCACCACCGGCCCAGGGCATCCGAGCCGTCATGACCAGAATGCCCATCACAGACCTCAAGCAGCGCGCGGACCCGCGCCGTGCAGACTTGCATGGCTGTGGGGTGTTCGGACTGGTTAGCATTGGTCATGTCCCACTTTCGGCTCCATAGCACACTTGCATGCGCACCCGCAAGAGGCCACAATGCCCAACTGGCCTCAAACGACCCCGTTGATGCTTCAATGACTCCGGCCAACCCAACTGGCAGGGCGAATTTGGCCCAGGCACATCATCACACCCGTCGGCAAGCTACCAGCCTGACGACGGTTGAATGTTGGGTACAATGGCTTCGGTTCGATGGCACTGGCACCCCGTTTGATGTCTTAGACAGCCGGAGGTCCATGTGAACCACCGAACTTGGGGTTGTGCCACCTACTTCTTGAAACCGCTGTGCTCAAAATCTGTCTGAGTTATTCTGAGTTCACAGACACCTGAAGCAATCGCGCAGCTACGTCGCGGTGTCTCCGAACTCCCCTGCTTGAACGGTCAATGACCTCTGCAAAGCTCGTCAGGTTTCCCCACCCCGAGCCCCACCCACGGGCGTCGGTATGATCTGCATCGCAGACGGGCGCCTGAGACACGTAGCTGATGTTGTAGGTCGCCAAGGGCAGGAAAACCACCGCAGCGATGACACCGAAACCTGGTGGTGCAGCCAGCCACAAAACCCAGCCTTTGACAACCATTCCGAGGGCTGTGAACCTGTGCAACACCTATGGAACGTCGATCGAGGAACTTTCCCCCAAAAAAATAGGAGAACAATCAAAGTTCCTGACCTTCACTGAACCAACTTCTCTTTTCCCACCGACTTCCTCTCCCACCACAGGCACCGCCCGGATCCGCCAGGCGACTCACAAGCACCGCCACGCCGGCGAGCGCCGCGCGCACGGAGACGCTGGCCACGTCCAGGCCCAGGTGCTCCCAGGCGACCTGGACGCGACCGGAGCACGGGAGCAAGGAGAGCTCCACGCCTCTTCTTTGAAGGTGGGTGGTTGTGGAGCTGTTTGTGCACATGACACGCTTGGGGAGAAAAAGGACAAAAACACTTTACACCAAAAAGCTCGTCAGACAAACGGGCATGCATTTAGCAAACACGGCACTTGAAGTGGATGGTTCAGAATGTGTCGAGTCTTTTGCTTCAGATCGCACATGCCGGTGTCCCTCTACCAAATGAGAACGTCATCCAGCTTCCACAAGGGGAGGGCCTTTTGTTGTGCGGGAAGCGGGAAGCCGGAGGGCAGCTTCGGAAGAGCCGGAGGCATCTCAGGCCGAAACAACGCCTGATGAAGCAAAGAAACACTTCACCGACTTCACCTTTAACCATACTTATAAGTTATAAACAATCCCTATACTGGTAACATCTGGTAACCAAAGATTGGTTTGAAAAGGAAGGGTGCCTCTCCGACGGGTGAAGACACCTCGTACATCCCAACGACAGACCCCTGCACCGAACCTCGGGTGGCTCGCAGGCCACGTCCCGCACCGTCAGCCGGTGCATCTGCCCCTCGTCGTCCACCTCGAAGGCGCAACAGGGGTGGACGCGGTGGACGTCAAAAAACAAGAGATGATTGTGGCAAACAGGCAGGGCACAGGGCAGTTCTGGGCATCAAAGGCAGTTCTGGGCTTGCTTGTGAGTTGTCCCTTTCAACATGCACAGATAGTAGATGTAGAGAAGAGATGGTGGAGCTGCTGTAGCAGCTGGCAACTCCTTTGGCCCTGTTCCTCTGTCGCCCATCCCCATCATCCACCCAAGCCACCCAGTGGAGCGGTGACAGCAAGAACTCCGGCGTCAGGGAGTGCGGCAAAAGCGGCGTCTGCGTGCCGCGGGCGTCGGCGAAAGCATCAGCGCCAAAGGCTCAAAAGGACAATCGTTGGACGAGATTCTTCGTCATCTCCAGAAGAAACACGAATGTTCCCATCAACCGAACTCATCGGCAAAGAAAAATCTCCGTTGCTACTGAGAATGGAGGTCGGCACTACCCATTCGATCTCAACATAGTCAATCTAAAATGCCTTTCAAAAACCAAAGATCTTTCAAGTCATTTTCTACAGGTTCTACAAAGTCCAAAATGGGTCTGGAAGTCATAACTTCAAAAAGTGACTGTGCCGGAAATGACCGAGCCAACCTAAGGCACAAACAGGTCTGTATAGCCAAAGTAGTACTTTGGCTTAGCCAAGGTTTCATGAGTGACATCCATGTTATATAATATAAGATTCATAGACTCATTTTATTGTTCCTTATGCTAAATGAGTCAAATGAGTATATAAAGCAAAATGCAAACACGTGGTCGACCGCACCCATGTTAGATTGTCGGTGGCAATGGGGGGGGTCATTGCAAAACAAGCACCAGTCAGACCCAACCAACAGCGGTTCTTTGGCTCTTGGGACCCTTGGGATGGGGACCCCCATCTTGGTGAGCCATAATAGCTTCTTGTTCCTAGTAGCGTCCTTGCTCCTAGTAGTACGGCCAGGAGCCCCTAGTAGCGTCCTTGCTCCTAGTAGCGATGCCAGGAGCCCCTAGTAGCTTCTTTGTGAGCCATAGCGGCCTGAAAAAGCTTCGGGAGCTTTCCACTTTCACCTCTGGGACCCGGGAAACCTGAGCCAGCTTGGCGCTCCGGGCCTTCCCGCGCGTCAGCCGCTGCATGGCCGTGGGCTCGGGGAACTGCCGCTCGGCGGTGTGCAGGTCATAGTTGTGCGAGAAAATCACCTGCACCGCACAGGCACGGTCCGTCGCACGGGCGTCCGTGTCTGGGCATGCTACTGATCGCTGTTTGGCTGGTTTGGCTGCGGAAGGCGTTGCCATTTCAGGGCATATGTGTGATCTCAGGCTTTTGCTTTGGTAGTCCAAATGGGGGTTCTCAATGTCACTTGGGTTGCTGGACCTTCTCATTCTGATTGGGATTCGCTCCTGCCAATTCCTGGATTCTCTGAAAACCGGCGCCCCTCCCGAGAAAAACACTCCCCCCAGCCACACAATCCTGGAGAGGAGCGCAAGAAAAACCGGTCAATGATCAAGCGACGAAGACGGAGCCCGCATTCTTCAGACCACCGGGCTTGCTCCGGTCCAGCCACCGCCTAGGCGACTCGGGCGACGGCGACTCGCCGCGTTTCTTCACCAACATTGACCGACGCATGTCCTGTCTCCGTCGCCGTTCGGCAGGTGACAGATACTTTAAACCATGGCTCCTCCCACTGATACATCTGAAACATCTCGAGGTCTGCTTGATTCTCAAGTATCCGTACATCCCTATGTTTCCTGCCAAAACCCGCAGGAAAAGCTGGAAAGAGTGCACCCAGAAGACTAGAATCTGCGAACTTACTGCTCCTCTTCCTCCACCGTCCGCTCCACGCTTCCGTCCGCGCCCGCCTCACTTCGTCCCGCTCCTCCTCGGAGAGGCCCAGGCCGCGGCGGCCGATGACGCTGCCAGCGAGGTTCGGATGATATGCGCCTGTTCGGCGGCCCGGCGAATGGTCTCACGGCTTCGGGCGCTGTTCGGGCACTGCTGCTGGTCTCGGGGGGAATTCCAAAAACGGCCCAAAAGCCTGATGCACGGATTCTACAAAAGACTGGCTACACTTGGCTTCCTGTCTTTCCCTGCGTTTTTCTTTATAAATCAATTTCAAGAGTCCAAAACAGCCCCAACACATCCCCCACCTGCAGCGACATCTTCGTCCACCAGGACCTTCTCCCAGAGCTCCCGCACACGTTCACGCCTCGAGAAAAAGCGAGCTTTCCGGCGGTTTTCAGGGGCACCGCCATGGAGATCATGGAGTGGTCACACAGCGTGATAGCACATGGGGCTAGGAGCTGCTGTGAGAATGATTGTCACATCAGAGAAACTGTTCAGCTGCGTACATGCGTTCATGCCATGTGAGATAACCGCGCATAGCCTGGGTGTTGATCTCAAATAGCTTCAGCAGGCTAAGCTAGATGTTCAACATAAAAGCTTAGACATCGACCCGAGCCTCGACTCAGTTCAGCCACTGCTCACTACTGCCCACACGTGGAGAAGCTGCTCACTACAGGGGTGGACCGGTGACCGGTTTCTTCTCGCCAAGGCCCCTCTTCCCCCTGAGGCACAGAACAAGAACCATCAACAAATGTCTGGAGAAGTCCCGACCTCAAAGAAGTGGTGAGCTGCTTGGTGCCTTCATTGCCACTTCATTCCCCACCCCAACGGTTCCATGGGCTCCGTCCCGGCGGCCGGTCCCGGTAGTCGTAACACACGGAGACCTGCACGTCCTCGAGGCCTCGGTTGGCCGTTCCGGTGGCCCCCGTTCCCGTCGTCCCAGCGACCCCCAAATGGTGGTCGTAAAGGGATGATGTGTTTCGATCCACCGTCAAAGTGAGGCAAATAGTTATGATATGATAGTACTGTATAGATAGTGCTGTATAGGATTGCATGTGACTTCTGGTCTTTTTGTGGTTATTATGTTTATGCGGTTTGGCACCGCACCAAATTCGAGAGGTCCTTGATGGGGGATTGATGCAATACAAGTTTAGCATAAATACTTCTACACACCTAGCAAAAAACTACAAATTGCAATGTCAACGATTTAACAATTGTGTTAGGGACCTAGTCCATCAATGCCTGGTGTGTCCAGCATACCTCATCCGTCATCCAAGAGTTCCCCAAACGTTTTGCCGTATTCATTTCACTCTTGCTCGCCCCCCTCAAATCCGTGATTGGTGATCAAGACCGGCACGCCCATCTCTTAGTAGCTTCGAATCGAAAAGCGGTCCGCAACTTCCCATCTTACAGCACCCTTGCACCCCTCAAAACCAACCATAGCTCACATCCGAAAACTCCATTTCCCATCCACCTTTCTCCCCCAGCCTCCCCTGATCCAAGGAGCCAAAGGCCTGGCGCACGAACTGCAAGATCTGCTCCTCATCCGTGGCGCTGGCTGGAAAACCTTCCAAATTCAGCGCGAACTCCGCCAGCGACGGGTGCCTGCAAGGCGTAATGCAGCACCGAGGGCGGTACGGCACCCAATGCGGCACCGTTTAGGCGATTTTCTCCAAGCCAACACCAGGGTCCTGACGCATCCTTATACACATCAGAAAGGGTGTGTATGTGTATATATATATATATGTCTGTGTGTGTGTATGTATATATAAATATATATAGTAGTTCTACCTGATTTTTGGCCTCATCTTCGATCACTGGCCTCCGGTGGAAGTTTTGCGCGACCCGCTTCTGCCGCAAGGCATGCCAAAAGGAGAGCAGAAGGCCTCACATCAGAGGTCCAGAAGGAGTCGGTGTTGGGCAAGTCTTTCAGAATGACCCATCGGAGTATATTCCGAAACCACTAGATAGATGAACTCGTGTCTTGAAGTCACCTGAACACCACTGGGGGAGGTCAACTCCATGAGCGATTATAGACAAAGACCTTGGTCGAGTGCTTCCCGGTCCCCTCTGCCGGTTTGTCCGGTGTCCAGCGACGCCACGGTCCGCCACGGCACCCAGAAGCCAAAGGAGGAAAAATCCCAGAGCTGCTCTGCGGGCAAAGTCCTGATCGAGACCCCTCTCTCTTTTTCAGACGGCGGACCAGGAAGATGACCCGGGAAAAACTGAAACGTCATTGCATATATAAATCCGAAAAGAATAAAGAATCCAAAAAGGCCCGAACAAAATCCTAACTGATGTCCCACAGGGAACACCACTTCAGACCAGCGCTGAACCAACTCCCTAATCGACATTCCAACGCCGCATCCCGCGCACGATCCTGGGCGGCGGAGCCCAAGTGGTTCTGCTGCGAATTCAGGCCGCACAAAGTCATTGCCTCGGCATGCTTGGAGATCCAAAAACGTTCCAACATTGGTGGCACCAGGCTGTGGCGGCTAGGGTGGGAGAAGAAGCTGTTGAGCTTCCACAAGGCAACCGGAACCTTTTCCAACCAAACACCCGACACCCAAACACTGTGTATGCGGGGTCTGCTGCTCCAGCCACACCCTACCAATCCCTTCACCCCCTGGCACTGCACCCCTCTTATCCCCTCTCCCATCACCCCCCTCCATGGAGCAAGCAGTTGGCCCAGCAAGCACCGCTCCACAGCCCAGGCGCCCCGTGCTTGCCATCGATCTCCTCCCACAGAAGGTGTGAGGCGTGGTCGAGGCCCGTGCGCATGAGCTGACCGCTCAGCTCAGAGCGCAGATAAATCCATGCAGTCCTCCGGGCCGGGGCGCAAAAGGTGACGAGATGATGCAACGAACAACTTGTGGCGACGGTGGTGGAGCGCAACAGACGAACGTGCTAAGCAGTTGAGTAAAGATTAACATGTTTGGTTTCTCCCTTGTGCTGCGCTGCTCAAGGTCACTTTCGCGATCGTTTCATCCTCTCACCCCACACAGTCTGACCCTCGTCTCTGCACTGTCACCGTGGCACTGACTGCGGACGAGCTTCCCGGCGCACATGACCGAGCTATACAAGGTTAAAAAGCCGTGCCACCTGCAGCTTGTGAGCTACACATAGCTACACATTCTGGCCTTCATGCACATTATATACCTGGGCCCTGAGAGGGCTACCAAAACAGAGCCAGACCATATTACACATGTGGATACGGCCCTCTTTGACAAAGTACGCCCCTTTCATAAAAGTACGTCCCTTTAGTATGTTCATTATTTTCAGGGAATCTTGAATTGATAGAAAACTTCCATGAGTGGTATCATGATTATTGTTTGCACCACTTACCTCACCCTCCTTGCCATCGCCTCTTCCCGCAGCGAGCTTTCCCCCGGGCGATCGACACGCTCCATGTCCAAGTGCCGGGCTGGGAGTGTGCACATTCAGATTGGCAGCGTTTGTTTCCAAAGTTTCAACATGTTTCAATATGAAAGATAGACAGTGTTTGATCTTCCCTCAAGACAAAACAGTCAAGTGCAGTTGCATGTGTTTGCATTACTGTGTCCTAAGCAACTTGAACAACACATGTCGCCAATCATCTCTTCACACTAGATCAGCCCTCGCTTATCATGGTCTGATTCCTGTATGGCATTAAAGCTACAGATCAAGCTACGTTCCATGACCCGCTTATGCAGTTGCCGAACAGCGACCCTCCTACTCAGTCGGCTTGGCTTGCCAACAAAATCCTCTTGCATCTGCACCGAGGTGCTGAGTGGTGATACCAAAAACTCAACACCCATGGGGGCACTAATTAACCTTACACCTTCATGGTGCACAAAATGAATTTTCGGCATCAGCGGAAAACGATTGCGCTCTTCTTCAAAGGATTTCCGCGCACAAAACCCGTAGCATTGGACAAATGTCATGAGTAGCTGCCCTAGCCTCACACCACGAGCCCGCGGCAACCAAAACCCTGCTGAGTACATGTAGGCCATCGCGCGGTTGATGGCTTTGGTTCCCGAAGCCTCAGCTTCAAAGGACACACAAGTAACATATCCAATGACCACTAGGTGCACATGAACACAAAGAGGAAACACAATGTTAAACAAATCAAGTCTAAAAGACAATTGCAATCATTACCTCATCAGTAGTTTTGCCAAGAACATGTTGATCACAAAAGAACTCCAAGTACTTCATCATGTCGGTGCTCACCGAACCCTTTGACCACTGTCCAACAGGACATGACTTGCTGGTGATAAATCCCATCGTGGACCGTGAAATCTCCTCCATGTGGGGCGAAATGTGGTGGTCCTGGCAGAACTGCTTGAAGCCCTGAGTCAAGAAGGCAAATCTGTTCTCTACAGATGCCTCAGGCCAGAAGTCCATCCTCTCGATTGCACAAACAAAGCTGTTGGCCAACCAATGTTTCGCCAGGCCAAGCTGCACATTGTGCCAAATGTCAGTGGCAAAGAAATGACTCACACATGTTGGGTCCAACAAAGCATCATTCAGCAAAGAAGGCCTCACCGTCCAAGCTGGCACCTGTTCCACCGTGGTCTTCCATCCGGGATTGATGGAGAGATCCTCATAAGGATAGGCTGGTCTTCCTGCCCGATCACTCTCCTGACCAGCCTGGCACAGATGGCATATGCCATCCGATGCGGTTTTGCTGGATGCTGCTCTGGGAACATGACTGAAGGTCCTGCAAAGGCCAGCTATTTTGGCCAGAGCGGGCAAGTCGCCCTTCGTGTTGAGATGGATCATGTGAATCCTCTTGCCTCCACTACTCAAGCCATGCCGCGCAAGAAAGGCAGCATCTCTCGCAAAGATTTGCATGAGGGTGTCAACGGCTTCTGGGCATTTCATGGTCACAGAACGCAACAGGGTGGCGAAGAGAAATTGTGTGCCCCAGGTCGAGCCCACAAAATTCAGTCCAAACTCCATGTCTTTGATGGGCATGAGGTTCTTCTCTCTCCTCAAATACTCATGAGTGCCACGACCTACAGCTCCATGGACTGAAAAAATCCAGATTGCCTGGTGCTTGTACCCTCTTCCCTCATCCTGGTGACTATAGTATGGAATGCATACTGACAGGTCAAGCCCCAAATCAGGATCAAAGATCTGGTGTTGCGGATGGAGTTGTCGGTAGCGCCTCCAAAATTCTGTCAAAGCTGCTCGCATGCTTTCAAAGGAAGCACACCCACAAAACAATCGCCAAATGCGACCAGTGTCAAAGAGCCACTGGGCCCAACTGCTCAGTTTCACAAATGGAAACTTCGAAAGCACTCCAGGACCCAAATTGACATGCTCGGTTCTTATTGGAGCCGTGTACCCATACTTTTGAAAAAGCTCATGGACACCTCTCTCAGAGTCTTTTAGGGACACTGCAGCAAATTTCTTGAAGATGTCACTGACATTGGGGTGAAGACTAACCTGCGACTTGGCAAACTCCACCACGTGGCAGCATGGGGCCTGGGCGCCAACAAGCGCTAAACATGATGGAACAACAAAAGCTCAAAACCTGCACAGGCATGTTTGAATACTGACTGTTTGAAATGCTCTGACAACTGAACGGGAGACCGATAAAGATAATGAGAAACAGACTGAGGAATGCAACTTTGAGGCGCAATTTCATCCTTTTCCACCCTTTGATCCGCTGTGCCCCTGCGAATTGAGCAACCTCACAATGCTAAGGGTTATCAACCCACCCAGCGAGGCTGATCTGCCCTACCTGCCACGCAATAAACATAAAACGGTGGCAGCATAGCTCTAGATGACCTGTTCAAACCCCCTTCTCCACCAGAGTTTGGCTTGTTCTTGCAACCCACCATGGTTGCAAATTCACAGATTAGAGCGGCCTCCAGCATGTTGGTAAGACCTAAACTTGGGGAAGAATGAATTAGCCACATTGATGTGTAGCCCAAATCAATATATGAAGCATATCGCAAAAGCGGGTTCGCAGTGATTCCAATCTTGAATATGCACACACTTCCCCCAACGGCTTGTCGCATGTTGGAGATTTGTTCTTTGCAGTGGAGCAAGATTCTACCACTGGTAATGTTTGCACTGGCGTTCAAACATTTGTTCAACAGCCCATGGCAGCAGACTGTTTCCCAGTCAAACGACACAGCTTTGAAGTCAAGACCGAGCTCAGTTATCACTTTCTTGTTCGGGATGTCAGGGTTGTCCTTAGATCATTTGCTGCGCATGTATAGGGACCACTCATGTGGATGTTGACTAGAAACTTTCAAGCCAATGATCATCCAAACATGTGAGATGTATCTCAACATATCTCAACCATTTGGCCGAGGCACTGCCCTTTGCTTTGGAGGAGACCAGCTGTGGGCATGGTGATCTCGGAAGAAGTAGTCATGGTAGAACTCCATCTCATCATTCTCGATAAGGGCCACAGGGGAACATGTATGTTCTAGCCTTGGTTCATTGGTTCATTGGTTGCTTCAGTTATTTTGTACCCTCCATGCACACAAACTTTTCTGATACATAGTAACTGCAATACAACAGGCCCTGTTCTAGAGTCAAGCCACTTTGAGACCTTGAGGCGGTCACCAAACGAAGCAGTCGGAGCCGGTCGCTTCGCCATCAGGGTCACGGGAACTATAAAAATACAAAGTTCAGAAGACATATGCAAAACATAGAGGCATGACATAGAGCTTACTTAAGTTGAAGTGGTGGTGAAGCTTAATCGCATGTATAGGACAATCAGCCAAAACACTGGGCGTGACTGAAGGTGAAACTGCATTGATGCATCATTACCTGGGGATCCTGGCTCCGTAGGCGATCATTTTGGCAAAGTGTTTCAAGGACTTCTGCTCATCGTTCAAGCCCTGACCTGGCCAAATAGTGCGCAGGTCTGCAAAGCAGTGGGCCAGGTAAGGATAAGGTTGGGGCCTTGGGGCTTGGAGGAAAACTGCTTTGTTCAAGATGGGTGCATTCTGCAGCACAGGTATGTTGTTTTCAACTGCGATGAGCAACGTTCACATCCACATGCTTCGCACGTGATCACCCCTCAAGTGCTTGAAGACACTTGAACTTGAACCCTCAAACATTGCACAGTTGATCAGGCCATTTGAGTAGGCCCCAAAACTCTCCACATGGCATAGGCCCATCACTGGTTGCTGGATTTCATCTTCTTCAGGATGTTCCTGAGCCAAGTACAGGGATGACAGCACACCTACATAAGCTTAGACATTGTTTGTACTTTATCAGCTCATGCACATGCGCGTAAACATGCACATTCAATGATACGGTAAATCAGTTTCAATGACTATAACCAAGCGGCCGAGCATTGGTCTCAGCAGTAGTCACCTTGCTGCACCTTGGGGTGGCATGTCTAGATGAGATGGGGAATCGTGGGAACTGGCTTTTCCGCGAAGCAGGAGAACAGTGGCAACAGTGGCTTGCTGGAAAGGCACGCAACTGTCGTGGCTTTCACTTGCCGGTCAACTTTGTTGAGCATCCTTGGCTGGAACTTTGCACCAGGTTCACATTGTAGTGAACAGGCTTTGAGCAGGTAGGATTCGAACAAGCAAAACTTAGTTGCCTACGATTTCATCTCTTCCGTCAACTCTTTACTTTTGAAAGACTTCATGGCAGAGACTTCCACTTTCAAAGCCTGGATCACTTCGTATTCCTTCTCCAAGATTTCCGTGGCCGACTCCAGGCCCTGAACTGACCTGACAAAAGCTGTTGGAGAAGGCCTGGTAGACCCCAGTGGTGTGGGTGGCATGATGGGTTCAGGAGATCCAGCATGCATGGTCAATTAAGGGGGGGGCTTCCTTCCACGTGCGGCATCAGGGGAATCAGGTTTGGCAGCCATCTCACTCTCCAGGTTGCCAATGAGGTCACTGACTTTTGTGGAGCGGGTCAGAAGAGAATCCCCCAGCTTCGTCAGGTTGGTGTACTCCTTCAACAATTTCCATTTGGCAGGAGAGCCATACAAAAGAACATATATCCATTCCACAGAGAACCCACCAGTCCTGAGGTGGTCCAAAAGCCTCTTTGGCTTCCTTGTCCGAATCACCAGAAGCGCTGGCAGCAGGTGAATCTGGCAGCTGCTCAAGCTTGCCACGGTTCATCGTGGGCTGAAAGCTCTTGAGGCAACGGGCCTGGGCCGGTCGCAGGGTGCTACGTCATGCAGTGATGGTATTCAAGACCCACTATCAATCAAGTATGTTGTTGTAACTGCTCATGTACTCTAAATGTATGCTCTACATACTTTGCTCATTAGCTGTGGGCCCCAGCATCCATTGTGTGTTCTTCACGTTCCTTTTCCTCCTCCATATCCATGTCCTCATCCTCCTCGTCCACCTCCACGTAGTACTTCTTCAAGTTCTTGTTGTACTTGTCTTTCCTGGAGTGTCAGAACGTCCAACATTCAACCAAACAAACATGGGATAAATTGGGGGAACCTATCCATTTCCATACATTTCCATTGGCAGCCTAGTCACTTGACCAAACTTTCATTGCCTTTTTTCTCACAAAACTTGACCACGCCGGCCGTGTATGACCTAGGCTTGTTTGTGAAGTATATAACTGCATCACTATATGTGCATTGTATTCAAGAAATGTTCATTGCAATGGTATTGGGAAACCTTCAATCAAGAAACTTGCTCCATAGCAACTTTGTTCGCATGCCCTCAATGGTGTACCATCCACGCTTCTTTTTGGCAGTCTTCCTAGAGACTTTCTCCTTGCTGCGAAAAACCTTCGATACAAAGGTGTCCTGCGTGCCACAAAAAGAGGTAGAGGCACAATATCAGTGGATACCACCAAAGACTTGCAAAAAAACTGTTGTATTTGCAACAGGTCCTTATCCCAATTGGACTCTTCCAGAAGTTCGAGCAGTTGATCCCGAGTGTGGCCACCCTTCAGCCACATCTCATGTATCTCTTCCGGCACATGAAGCTTACCCCTTCCCTTGCGCTCACAAAGGCGCCTCAGCCGTTGTTTCTTAGCCGCCTCGGAAGGATGTTCTTCCTCCGACTCCGAAACATCCCCAGCCTCACGGTCAGGTTCTGCAGCGACCTTTGGTTTCGACGAGGCCGGTTTGGCTTTGGGGTTGGGCGGACGCTTGGGTTTCCCAGGCACACAAGCTGTAGGCTCACCAGACAATGCAGCCTTGGCGGCAAGAAGTTCCATCCTCAATTTCTCATTGTCCTGCCAAACACAGAGGGGTTTGGTATCAGCCAAAGGTGAGCTGGACAGTGAACTAAATTGAGAGCAATGACTATCAACCGGGCCTCTTGCAAAGCATCAATCTGGCGGGACTGGACTGGGTCTGGGGCTTTGAAAGAAAGACGTCGGGGGACAGGACCTTCACCTGTTTTTTTGGGAGGGGGCGACATGATGGGTGTCTCCATGCTTTCTTCAGGGGTGGATGGCTTCTTCTTCTTCTTACCTCCATTACCTTTCCTTGGGTGAGAAGGCTTTGGCGTGGGTTCTGGCTCCTCCTCGGCCTGGGAAGCATTTGGGTCAACCTCATCTTCTCTTGGGGGTTTATGTCTGGGTTTGGATTTTGCCGCCTTTGCCTTGGCAGTTGCCTTGGCACCTCCCTTGGGGGCTGCCCTTGCAGCACTGGCACTGGCAACCCGTTCACCTCTCAAGGCTGCAATCTCCTCCGGGGTGGCCTCAGATATAGGAGGGTTGTGAACCAAGATGCATGGGATGGACCAGACAAGTGCAAAACAGCACCGATAGACTTTTCAACCAGGGTCAAGTTGCCGGAAGCGTGTCGGATTCCTCTATATCAGCCTCATTCCAACAAACCATTTTGTTTGACAAAGTATTGGGATTGAACAATTGTTCTACCAAATACCCAAAACAAATTCCAAGCGACTTCTTTGTTGTTTCCTGAAGTAGAGTCCGCCGCTTTAAGACGTTCAATTTGCCGTTCATATTCCTGCCAGGATTGCCCGGGACCATAAAGGTTTCAAGAAGCAACAGTTGTAAACAACAGTATTGTTGTTGAGTAAATTAACATCTCTAGCCGCTAGCCTGGATTTTCTTCCTTAACTCTTCTTCCTTCTCAGCTTCCTGCTTCACTTCCATGAGCTTTTTGTTCCCCTCTGCAAGCTCGGAACAGCTATGGGTTTTGGAGGGCATCCGACTTTTCCCCTTCAGTGCCATCCCAAACCGCAAAGCTTCACAGGCAGTGGAGCGGCCTACGATTTGAGCACCTGATGAGGACGATCGAATGCCGTGTTGGGCTTTTGGGATGCAGCATGTCCAAAATGGCCACATGTTCAATCAACATGAGCCATGAATTCAATAAGAAATGAACATACATCTATCAAATCCAAGCATGATGAAAAACCCTGAAAGTACGTACTTTGTACGTGTTTTGTTACGGGAAAACACGCCCCTTTTACGGGAAAGTACGTCCCTATTACGGGGTACACTTTGGGGTACGTCCAAAACACGTACCTTGTACGGATTCTGGACGTACTTTGGACGTACTTTGGGGTACGGCTGGCCACATGCTGTTTCAATGATTCCAGTGGGCATTTCAGCCTAGATGAGCCAATGCCCCACTTGGTTTCTACATGTTTCTACAGTATGAGCTTTAGAACTTTAGATCTACTTCTGCACAGTTTTGCATCGAACCAGCACTACCTTTTGTGCATCATTGCTAGACAAGAGCGCTCTCACATGCAAATAGAATGCATGTTTGCTATAAAAGGTAAATTTCTATTGTATCTAATTTGTTGCAAAGCCATTTGTAACATCACATCTCTGTGGGAAAGAGGTCCCTCCAATGGCCCAAGTGCAGGTGACTGGAGCCACGTAGGTACTGCAGAACCGAAACTAATTCAGCATCATCCCATAAATCACCCCAACTAAGGGATTTGAAGAAAGACTCTGTACTGCGTCGCAAGACCTCCTCAGGGATGTTCCAGTCCACAACTCGTTCTGCGATGAACCGCGGATATAGTCTTTGGATCCATCGCCCAAAGCCAGGGGGATATGTCCTAAGGCCAACTAACATGAGTGAAACCTCAAAAGACCAACTCCAAGAGAATCATTGCATTCCAATGGAAGGGAGCTGACAACCCCCAGTTTGAACCCCAAAATCTGAGTTTCCCACCCCGTCGACTTCAAGAACCGGGACCCTTTGAAAGCAGTCTTTCCAGACTTAGAGCGGTAAGTGATGGCAGACTTAGCCGAAGAAGCAGCCAGCTTCTTCTGGTGCTTCATGCAGATTTTGCCAAGGTCCAAGCGAGCCACAGTAGGGGCATTTGATAATGCTAGGTGGCGTTTCGCTGTCAACCCCCCAAACTTGTGCATCCACCAATATGCCAAGAATGCCTGCGCAGGAGCCACTGGGCAGCCATGTCAGGATTGTGTCCATGGGGGTGGGGGTGGAACAGGGCATTTGTCTGTATGTCGATCTATATACTAAATACATTGCAAGCATATCCACAACAAGTGCCTTCGGAATGGATCTCAGAACCTCTCTGATACGGGGATGCCAAATCAACATGGAAGATCTGGGCTGCTCCAGAATGAAGCTGCAGCCCATAGCCTGGATCACCCAGATCAGAAGGCAAGTCCTGGGTCCAAACAGGTGGGGACATTTGCTGCAATATTTTGCACGGGTGATGGCAGTACACACATCAAATACAAGGATGGGATGGAGGCCTTTGTTTTTGACCCACCAAACTGCAACAGAAGTTTGCCGGTATGACCCCAGTACTGGCAACATGAATTAGGCAAAGGCATCAGTGAAAATGTTTGCAATGTGTCCATTTCCTTGGCCAAAGGCAGGCCTGAAATTATGTTCAAGTTTGAGCGCATTTTTGGACATGGCATGCCCCTGACCAAGCTGAATTGAAGAATGGAATTAAGTTCCTAGGCTTTTTCAATGACACACATGGACTCCGGTTGTAGATCATGAGACCCATGCGAAACTCATGTAACTCCTACCAAGTATCCGGGATGTGAGGGAATTGCCCTCCCTCACACTTCGAACTTGCACATCTCCCAATGGGCTGAAGGGGAACCGGCGGTTTGTGGCACGGTTGATAGCCACAAAAGATGAGCATAGCAGGCCAATAAGTACGAGAGCCCCGTCCATACGGCAATTCAGTATGGTGACCAGGGCTAACCTCAGATTAGTGCAAAGGACCATGAACGGAAGATACATACTAAGCATTCAATGACCATGAATATAGGATACTATAGGACCATAGGAAACCATTTTTCATGTCCATTTCTGAGACATGAATACACCTCACTCTCATGTTGTAAGTTGTGAGAGCTGAGATCACACATATCACTCAGGGGTGCACAATATCCATTCATCAATACCCCTATCACAGTGAGATACTTGTGTCCTCTCAACCTGTCTTGGTATGCAGTGGTTTCACTCAAAGCAACGCGAAGCCAGCATCTGTCAGGAGATCAAAAGGATCCTGCTTACCTTGGCCATGATTTTGACTGCCCAGGAGAATGTCCAAACTGGCGCCGCGGTGGCCAGCCGTTTTCATGACCCTCGAAACCCAGCCCTCTCCAGAGAATAGCTCCACGAAGGTGTAGGTCTTAGCCAGCATCAAATATTGAAAACCCTGGTGTACCAGGAATGAACTGAGTTGTCCAGAATCAAAAACTTGTTTGTTTCCATGAACTTCCACGTTGGGTTTCCAAAGTTCTCAGCAAAGCACTTCTGTAAATATGGCAATGTTGTCCGATAGTGCAAGAAGAACAATGCAGGCACTGAGCACCTTAAACGGGCCATGTACTGACTGAAGGGACCACAGGAAGTCTAGTCATGAGACATGTAAGCATGCAACCTAGCTAGGTCCGTTCCTGGCCTTAGGGGCGCCCATGGAGTGAAGTCTTTTGAGGACAAGGTCCAACTTCTGGACTGTGTCATGACCCACAGCCATGGCTTCAGGGGCCAGGGTCACAATCTACCAACCACTACCCTCAAAAAGGCTGCGACGCATACGCAGCCAGACAGCGCACGAACAAACATTGATTTGTTTTCCAAAGTTGGCCCAGTTAATCATCAGCTCAAGTGCAAAGAAACCACATGTAGCATAAATATATTTGCCACAACTTCTAAAGTGCTCTATCCAAAGCAAATCTTGGAAAAGTTGTGATCATTTAGTGGTGGCTAGTCTTTTACGAACCTTCAGAAAGTCATTCAACCAACAGCGGAGGACAATCGGTTCTTTCAAAGCAAGGATTCGGTCCAACAGAACTTTCTGTTGTTCCCACATTTAAGACCAGTTCAACATAGTTCAACCCTCATGACCAAACAGCCAGTGGTACTGATGTACTCGTCATTCGGGAGGAGACGCCGCTTCCACCCATGGCCTCTCCCCGACATTCGGCAGGAACTTGTGACCTTGGCAGGCTACTTGGTGAGCGCGTGCAGCCCCAAGTTGAGGGTCGGAGGGTCTAGCTGTGAGGGGTGGCATGCAGGCGTCACGAGGTTTCAATTGGACTGGAAAAAACACATCGCAAAAGTCAAGTTTTTTTCCATCTCTCGATGAACCCAGTGGACAAGTGAGCCTCAATCACGCGAGGTGGGCACTCGACGGGAAACACAATGGACCAATACTGTCCATACCAATCGATAGCAATGAGACAGCAGAGGGGTGTTGGGATTAGGTCATGTATTGTCCAAGCCACACCATCGCCTAAAACCAAGGCCCTTGTCAAGGGTATTGGCCTTTTGTAGCCAAAGCCCTGCCCCATAAATTTGATTTGGAAACACTATTCACTATTCCTATATGGACACAGCTTCCCACGTGCCAAAGTGCACACACTGTTGAAGTAACATTTGGTACAAGTCTGATCGATTATGTGAAACTAAACAAGTGAAAAGCTCCTATATGCGCAATTCTTACACACATGGTGCCAACACGTGGGTCTGGAGGCTGGTCCAAAATTATTGGTCAAAATGCTGCGACGGCCCTACTGCATGGCTTAGGAGCCACCTAGGCTAGCCAAGTATTGGGTGGCAGCCTCACGGGCCTCCTCCCAGATGTTGTCACTGTTGATCTCCTTCTTGGCCCAGCGCTTGGTGCAAAAGGTCCAAAAGAAATCCTGCAGGCAAAAAGGAACCGTTGAAGAGGCTAAAAAAGTATAAACACTAGAAACTATTTCAATTTTTTGGCTGTGTCATGAATTGGGCAAGTATGGTGGCAGCAAAATGTTTGAAAGCTGAAGGGCCGCAAACACATGTGGATTGAAGCTCTATTCCTGAAAGACTACTCATGAAAGACTATAGGAAGAGTCATGGGCAGATTGAAAATAATTCAAACCTTGGAAGTCCTCATGGGTAGAAGACTTCGACAGGCTTGGACGAATGTTGCTGATGAAAATGGAGCGCAAAGTATCCCACTTCAAGGCCCCATCTTCTGTCTTCGGACGCCTTCTCCTAGCCCAGGTGGAATTCATGGGTGGTGAGGTAGCTGATGAGCTCCCAGTCTTGTCACCCGTGTCACCACTCCCATTGCCATCCACCTTGTCCGTGTTGCCCTTTAGCTGATCATGCTCCAGCATGTCCCCAGTAGACTTGCTCTTGGAGGGGCACTTCGACTTCTTGGGCACCTTCGGCTTTGCCTTCTCCTCCTCGGATGGTTTCTCCGACTTGCGACGCTGCTTGGGCTTTTTGGATGCTTCAGGATCTGGACTGGCCTTGCACTCTGTGGATGTCTCAGGCCCTTCTGATGCAATGGGCATTTTTGGATCGCTCACCTCTTGAGCCTCCTTGCTCAGCTGGGGCGCATCGGCTCCCTGGGCCGCTTTGCGTTTCCTGGGTGCCTTGGGCTTCTCCGCTTCACTAGCCCCAGTCTGATCCCTCTTGGTGCGTCTGCGTTTGGCTGGAGCTGCTGCCGGCGCATCATGAAGACCACCATCGGCTGGACCACCGGTCTCTGATTGATGAGGATGACAAGCCGCCATTTGTGGATCAACACTATCCCCAGCCCCACCCTCAACTGGAGGCTCATTTGTGGGAGCTCGAGCTTTAGCGCCTTTTCCTCTTCCTTTTCCCTTCCCACGCCCTCTGCCTCGACCCCTGCCGCTTTGGCCCTTGGTGCCCTCAGACTGGTCGGGTTCGTTCAGCTCTCTCTTGAGGCCAAGCTGCTGCCTCCGCAAAAGAACCTGGGCAACAATGATGACAAACAATGGTCACATGAATGCCAACAGGGGCAAGAGGTGGGCCTGATTTTAGACATCCAAGAGCCAGTGCCCCAAAACTATGTTCACTGACTCCCCAACTTTTAAAAGCAAAATAGGGAGTCAGGAATGCTGCATTTTGGGGATACTTGTGAAATCAACACATCATGCAATGTATCCGTGCGCCAATGGTTTAGCCTTGAAGCTGAGTTGGCATCGTCAAAGTCAGGGGCCTCCCTGATGACCTTGTCCATCTCTTCATCCTCTTTAAAAAGCTTCGAGGCAGCCTTCTTCATAGATTCCTCGGGCATAACCAATGTCTCAACATGATCTCCTCCAAAAGGCAGCGAGTCATCAATCTGGATGATTTCTTTCGGAAGCCTGGCCTCTCTCGCAGCTTTCCTGGGCCAGCATGACACTTGGTATGGGTGTTCCAGGAAAGAGCTACAGCTAATGTGTTGCCTCATGCCTTCAAAAATTGAGGAACATCAAACATCACAACACGTTAAGGGGAATGGGTTGCCATCAAAGGGTCATACGCTCTTGCTCCTTCTTCAGGTCAGCCATGATGATTCGCAGTTGTTCCACCTCATCCAAAGCACCAAAGCCCTCACATCCTGGAGAGAGATTCAATGGGGCCTTGTCTGTTTCGGCATGCTGCTCAGAATCCGGCACAGATGGCACTGCCAGGCCATCACCTGCTTTGCCACAGGGAAGGTTCTGCACCGGTTGCTCCGGGTCGGCGGCTTCCTCATCAGAACCGAAAAGTTCTCGTACGGTGGCCGCATCAAGGACCGGATCCAGTTGTGAGTCCTCCACGAACATGGGCTCAACAATGGCAGCAGCATCATCAGGTTTGACAATGTCCGGCAGGGTGGTGTCATTCTGGTCCCTTGCCAGGCCTGCACCTTCCAGGTGAACTGCATCACCTGCCGAACTGCCATTTGCAACATGGCCACTCTCATCAGGAGCATTGCCATCGGTGAGAGCAATGGGATCAGCACCATCAGCACCCTCATCCTCCTCATTCTCCAGAGCATCCACATCTTCCTCCTCACATTGAAGACGCACAAAACCGCAGAAACCAGGAGGTTGAGGACTGCTGATAATTTGGGAGGATGGCTTGAACTGAAGCTTAACACTTGCTCATAAAAACCTTCGAACATATACCGCATATACCCTCAGCTCTTTCCATCATCGCTCCTGGTGCCCAACGACCTCACCCATGAGGGCACGAAAGTTATCATTACGCGGCCACTGGCGGCGAGTGAGTTTTTTCTTCACCAGGACGCAAGCTCTCTTCATGAACCAGGCATCCACCTTCACAAGCCTGAGGTCTGGGGTCTTGAGGACCAGCCTGTGCAGCTCCTTCAGCCTGAGAAGGGTTGGAAAGCAGTGAAGAATCACCATCACATCACTTGGGTTCACACACACACATTAAAAAAAGGTACAAAGCTCTCCAAAAGCAAACAAACTCAATATGAAACAAGGAGCTCATTCTCAACTGCAGGGATGGAAATCATACTGATCACCCCATAGCCATTTCCAGTGCCCACCCACAACCTTCTCATGATGGGTGCAAGGACGATGCGATTGACCGCCACACCAGGAACTGTATCAGACGGATGGTATTTGTTAGGCTCTGACACAAGGACAGAACCAGTTTGTACCAACAAAGCCCGCACTTCCCGCATAGACTCCCACTCTGCCGCAAGGCCGGAGAGGTCAATGGGGCCACCCTCCTGCTGAGAATCCTGCTCCCCATCCGACATTGTGCCAAAAAGGGAAGAAAACACTTTGGAGCTTGATGCCTCACAGCTAGTGCTATGCAAGCCAGTGCAACTGAAGCAGTGAGCGATATGGCCATCAAAAGCCAGGGCCATCGACCATGATAAGATTTTGGTATGTTTTTCACCACAGTGGATTAAATCCAATAAGTTTCCAATTGGGTCACCAGAACAAAGACAAGTGCAACACAGCTGATCAGGTGCAATTGAGCTGAGATGGCCTATGTAGTGACCCATGTATAGTGCCCCTCTCTGGAGGAAATGGTTTTTTTAAGTAAAATTGCAAGTGATGCAGTGATGCAGTGCTTCTAGGGAGGTTTTGTTATGTTTCTTGATGCAGTCATGTTTTTCTGTTGGTCCCCCATATTGAGGGCAAGGGCCCCAACGTGCTCTGGCCAGAGCAGCTCCAGTCCCAACCGGCTCTGAGGTGCCCGACTGCCTTTGCAGTGACCAGCTCCAGCTCTGACCAAAACAAATGCTGCTGCCGGGCGGATGGGGGCCCGGAAGTGCTTGGAAGTGGGATTGAAGAGTTGAAGTGTGCACCATGTTAAGGTGCCAACTCAGTAGAATGCATCTTTAAAGATCTTTAAAGCATTCAATTTCAACACCAAATATGATGAAGGGATCAAAGTACGTCCCTTTTATAAAGTACGCCCCTTTCTTGGAAAGATCATCTTTCACAGAAAAGATTGCCTTTATTTTGAGGCCTGTGGATCGGCATCCCTTCCAGGATGCAGGTAGATTATAGATTCATTAGATTCCCCACCTCTTTTCTTGATGTCCCACTGACTAAATAAATCCAACCTTTTTGACGGCTAACTGTTCAGCCAAATCACTGGTGAAAGAGCGGCAGGCCAACCCCAACCAAGAATTTCTGGTGCAAGTTGACCTTGGCGAGTTCTTTTGGCCGAAGGGATCGAAACACATGGCCTGCATCAAAGCAGCGGAACTCTCCAAAGAGCGGCTAAAGTGTCCAAAGGCTCCGGAAGAAGGCAGCGGCAGCAATATTGATTAAGAATCAGTCAAAAAACGCAAACAAAATCAAGACATGCCGAATGGTGGTGCTCTTGAGCCAACCCCAGAACCCGCACCATCGAGCTCGGACGAGCTGGTTTGTCCGCTCGGTCCGTCTCGCTTCGCCCCAGCGGCGCGGAAGGGGACGTTCTTGAAGCGACCCAGCAGGGTGGAGGCGCGATTCTGGCCGTCGGAATTGCTGAGTGAACCAAAGGGAGAACGTCGGAAACGGTTGAATTGGGGGAAGGAAGGTACCTGGTTTGTAGACGCCGACGTAGACTCTTGATTGGAAGGAAAAACAAATGAAGAGGTCTCGCCATCTAAGTATGTAAATGGTAAGGCTTCTTTTGTAAATCAAGATTCTACAGTACAGTACCTACCTTGCTAGAATTTTGCAGGCAAGTTGCAGCACAAAACACTCTCCCATTCTTCCTCTGGGAACTCGCAACTCCCCGACCTGCGCGGGAAGCTGGCGCTCCATGTGTCCCAGCAGGCTCTGCGAATGCTTCATGCCTCGTCGCGCGAATACCATCAAGCTGCACACGACACAAGGGTCCCGTCTCTCTAGGAGGATGCCAGCTGCTATATAGATGTTTCCAGGATGTTTCAAAGGGAGGATGCTAGCCCTCCTTGGTTGGAGATGTGCAGAATGACCCGTTGAGGCAGTTTCACGTGCACTCCTTGGCGGCCCTAAAACGTATCGGCAAGCGCTGCCTTTTCATCACACACAAAGACTTCCTTTGAGTCCTCCGTGTTTCGCCAACCCGGAACCGCGCGGTATCCACGCCTTGGTTCTGTGTGGAGCGGGGCTCCAGATTCTTCACCTGGAAGACGGGCCAAAGCGCGCACAGCGCTTTAAACGAGCAAGCTAGCGGCGTTCGAGCATTCACTACATGAAGCCAAACCAAACACTATTTGTTCAATACACCCTCCGGAACAGTAGGCCACGGGGCTAATGTTGTGGTGATATAAATATATATATATATACATACATACCACAGTTTTGCGACACACCACTGCGGCACCCGCACCTTACATCTGAGACGATGAAGCTTGCCCTGGTTGATGCTCAGCGGTGTGATTTCGCAGTCTAACCGTTCCTGATCCTGTCCTCGTGGCTTCCGCACTGACACGGCGGCGCGGGGGCGGCGCGCGCGGCGGGCGCGAACCGGCCGATCGAAGGAATTCGCGCTTTCCACGGCCGTGGCCGTGGGACCTTGACGAACGAGGGAAGTGTAGATATGAACTGTTACCACCCTTGGTTTACCTGTAAAAAGGTTGCAAATCTCCAACTAATTTTTGCCTCTTCTGGATGCCCGCCCAAAGAACAACAAGTACTGACCGGTTGATCAAGTTCCGGCATGTTGGTCTGAAGGAGATGCATCGGTCTGATCCACAAACACATCATTTAGATTTAAGAGAATTCTTAAAACGGCTCACCCGCCAGTGGGCTCTTCCTCAAGAAGCACCCCGCAGAACTGCCCGCACGAGCGTTCCAAAACATGCCTGTCCTGGCTGATCCTTCGGTAGGCTGCTCTCATTCTGAGCCCGCACCAGTTCATCTTCCTTGGCACACCCAGCATCTATATCTCACATAAGAAGGATCCGCGGAATGAAACGGAATCAATCCCAATGCCTCTCGCATGAGCCTTGATTCTGGTCCATTCATTCATGCCTCCATGTATGGTGACCAATCACGCTTCCAAGCGTGTCTTATTTAGGACAAGACATGTGCCAAGACCCCGGCAGCATGGGGGTAAGGGTGTCTTTATCAAGGCACCCAAAGCCCCCCCCGAAAACCCATGTCTCATCCTCTCAGCCGTTCCAACTGCTCCGTCCGACCGGTCGCTTCGTCCAACCAGGCGCTTCATCGTCCAGCTCGTCGGGCGAGCTTTCGATCTCTTGCGGCAGGCAGCGCCCGAAGCAGTTGCAGCGATCGATCAGGTAGACTCCTGGAACCACGGGGGGGGGGGGGCCCGACCACATGCGGCGCTGAGGAGATCAAAGTTGAGTCCAACAAGAAAAACTTGCCACCAGGGTAGAATGCCTCTGTTGAGACTTAGGAGCAACAGCACAAGTCATGTGGGATGGGCATAGGCATCCAAGGGCATTGATGGGCATCCAGTCGGCCCCTCGAACACCCCAAACCTGTCGAAATCCTACGCAAGAGAGTGTCAGTGTGGTTCCCACACTCCCAAGATCATCCTGCCAAAAGGATCAAGATCAGCAGCAAACTGAAAGCAAAGGCCGCATTCATGCCATTCTTCGCCCGGTCATCCCACACATACACCTGAGTCTTTCGCTGCCGGCCAGCTGAAGCAGTTCAGGGTGCAACAGCTCGTTTGCAGCAGAGATTCAACAACCACCACCCGAGTTAAAACTTAACACCCGTCCACGCCCCACGCCGCACTGCCGCACGGCCGAACCGCCAGCGAACCCGGCCCAAGCGGCACACACGCGCCCGCCGAACTCCGGCCAAAAGTTGTCGAAGCACTCGCCACAAGTGTCCTGTGGGAGCACGGCCCGGTGATTTTCGCTCCGGCCAAATAAAAGGAGGTTCAACCAAACCCGCCGAGGGCCGATCACGATGCGCCGGTTCTGCGTCGGACTTCTGCATGAATGACACTCCCAATGTCTTAAGCCGCCTTGGAGGCGCATCTTTTGCACCCCACCACCGAGCAAGGCTCACAGAGCTGGGTGGCGTTGTTCCTGGCAAGCTCCGCACGGACTTGCGCGCGAATCTGAGCGACTTTGGCGCCCCAGCGCGTTCCATAAGCAACTGCTACCCACTGCTACTCAGGATCAGGAACTGGGTGGCTCAAAACGTGCGGACCGTCCGGGAAATTCATTTGTATATGTTTGTATTTAAATCCATGAGCAACGTGTGCCACACTTGCCGTCCAAGGTGCGGAAAAGCCAGATTGGGATTTGCTGTCGAACACGTAGAGGCGGTAGCGCATTGGAAAACACAACCTCAGCACTGAGCACTGGATTTGGACCAAGGGGAAACAGTCTTATTTGCGCATATGTCATGGCGAATTGTCAACGGGATGTTACTTTTTTGTTGGTGTCCAGTCCACCGGCTACTTGCCTAACTTTAGAACGGGCACTTGTTTTTGGCTGGTTCCGACATGATTTTCGTCTGTTATTGTTGGGTTTTCTTGCGAGGACAACACCCACTTAGTCTGAGCAACTCCTACCTCACTAGCCATTACTGACCCGATAAGCCGTAAGCAAAGACTTCACTGGCCGCCCAACACCAAAATTTTTGCAACATTAGGTATTAGAGTTTGGAGCCCCCTCCTTGGGGAAACGCCCGTGCCAGTCGCCAAAGTGCCTCTGAGCAATGAAAACGTGACCCACAAGAAATGATGACACCACCCGCTACTACCTCCCAGCCCAAAATTCGATCCCAACTGCGCACGACCCCTATTGTCGCCGAGGGGCTGAGGTAAGAATGCGGGGCGACAAAGGGACAGTTGCTTGGACATGCGCCTTGCAATTGAGACAAACCTGGGCAATCTGTGGTCGCCTCGCAGGAAGGGCCGACCGGCGGCGGCTGGCCGGGTGTCAAAAACAAAAAATTACAATTTGGACCTGCACATCCTGTCAGGCATCGGGAAACCTTGGGGTGTTGAATGTTCCAACTCAAAATGGCATAGGCAGGCATGCAAACACAAATTTGCACTCCAAAACCGTGTTTTCCTAAATCTGCCCTCATCCAACAACTTGCACTTTGCAACAAACGCATTCGCACAAAGTGGCAGGTGGCATCGTAGTGCTGTTTTGAATTCGAGTTGCTCCATACAAAGCACCACCCCAAACCCAAAATCCACCGGCCATGGCCTCATGGTGGCACCCCAGCGGGTTCGAGGCACGGCCGACTACGCCGCATTCACGCGCCTCACGGCACTGGGAAATGGGGCGTTGCAGGCTTTTCGGCACATGAAATGGAAGCGGGAGCACGAAAAACTAAAGGATTTTGGCCATAGATATCCATAGATCATGGATCACAATGACACGTGCTGGCATGCGAACTTTGCCGGCCTCGGCCTCAACGACGACCAACAAGCTCGCGCCCAAAAAACACCGTGCCATGGGCTGCAAATGCACATGGGTTCTTGTGGCACGGGGTCCTGGACCAGTTGAAGCAGGCATTGCCGTGAGGTGCTTGAGATCGGTTCATCCGTGTGGTCATTATCAGTTGACATGCCAGGTGCGAGTTCAGTTTGGGTGCGCGTTGCTTGTCTGCCGTCTTCCAACTTTGGTTGTTGTATGCTTGTGGCATGTTGTGGTCCATGTATGTCTACGTAGATGGCTCAAAATCAGCGGAGCACAAACTAAAGATGTGTTTCGGCTGCGGTTTTCTGCCTCGGGGCCGGGGCATCTAGGTATGCCAACACAAACCCGCTGCCCAGCCTTCTGTTAAGCCTGTTTTGGGAGGCTGAAGTTTAATGTGCCTTGGCACCTCCATTTCCGACGACCACCCCCTCAGGGCACAACTACAGGAACATCAGAAATTGTTTGGGCTCACGTAGAACACAACCCCCAAAATGCTCGAAAACTATATCTTGCTGCCGCCATCTGACGAAAATATAACATGATGCTAAAAAACAACAATAATACACACTCTCGGGGCTGCTGCACTGCAAAATTCTGAGCGAGTAGCCACAAACCAGCAAAAATATGTAGATGCCATGCAGCCGCGGGACGTTGATGATGTCAGGATCTATATATGTTTTTCCTCCCGCTCCTTTTCCACAGCGAGTCCTGGTGGAAAGCCATTTCTATACCGGCGGCTCCCGGATGCGGAGACCATTTGCATACCGGCGGCCAGCGGATGTGCGAAAGGTTCCCGGGCTGGCGAAAGTCCAGGCCCACGACGGCCTGGAGGGACCCCCTCGAACAAGGAGCTCGCCTAAAAGCAGGCGTTCCGCTTCAGCAGGATCATCACAAGGAAGGGAGAACAATGAAGCAGCAACAGCATGCATGGCTGCACGTGCGATGATGGCAGACCATCGCGCGATGTATGCTGCGACAGCGCCTGCGTGGATGGCTCGGGGGGCCGAGCGTGCTCCGGTTTGCGCCCATTGTCAGAAAAAGTGTGTGGTCTCCGTGCTCCATCTGCCCCCAACTTCAATGGCTAGCACGATCAAAAGGCAGCGGCGGGCTGTACGGAACTCAGGGTACGCCCGCTCTTTGGCCCTTTTTGCATCGTCACACCGCTGTCTCGCCGTCGTGGTCGGCCGGTGCTGGTGGGTGGCACAACCGGCACAACCAGCGTGGTGTCGATGGCCAGCTGGCTGCCATTGCCGTCGGCAAACATTTCATTTTGTCGGTCATTAGCTTGTCGGACCGCCGGGAGATTGAGGTCTGAGACCCTGGTGTGCATGGTGAAGGTGGGGCCTGTTTCTCTGCACCCTCTGGCTGCCGCACGTTCTAAGGAAATGCCTCGGGCCCGCAGTACCCCACCCGTGGAACAAGCTGCGCGGTGGTCGCCAGGTTCGCTCTGACGAGGGAAGTGGGAGGCGGAGGAGCAATTGGAAAAGGTGTGAAGAGTACGTTGTGTCTGCTGCTTGTGGCAGTGTGGTGAGAGCTATGCTGGCAGCATAAGGGCCCGATTGGGAGTCCAGCATTGCTTGGCCAGCTGGGCCCACTTGTTGGTACAAATTGCTGGGCAGGCCAAGCCCAATCCTCCTTGCGCTAATGGTGCCAGGCTGTGGCGATGGCGGTGGCTTGCACTTCGCCATGTCCAAGAATGTCTGCCATGGCTGTGATGGCTGCGTCGTGTTCTTGTGCGTAAGTTTCTGGGACTTGCAAAGATGTTTGTTTCTGAGGCTGGATGTGTACAAAGGGGGGAAGCAAGTAAACAACACTGGGAGGAGTGGTAGCAAAGCCTGCTCGTGATGTCCAGGTCAGGCGATGATGCCAGGGGCCTCCCATGGCCGAGTGCAAGTCCAAGTGCCATGGCAGCCGCGCCAGCCTTTGCAACACGATTGTCCCACGAGGAGTCGATATCCTTGCATGTGAACGCTAAACTGCCGCCTGTCTTTGACAAAAACATATCATATGTTAGCTTAAATACGAGGAGGCCATAGACGACTGGTTGTCAATAACTAGCATCGATAAGCCCGAAGGGTTCGGTCCAATTGTCAAGACCACAGTAACTGCCGATGCCACGGTGTACTGAGAGTTCTTGGACAATGATCGTCTTGGTTACCTCCTGCAAAATTTCGGACCGTTTTGTTGCCAAAGAACTCAGAATACCCATTCCTCAACTGCGTTTTGAATCCGGAGAGGTCCAACGGACAATGCTCGGACAACGAGTCAAGTGCAGGCGTGCGTGAAAGCCAGCTGTTTACTCAGTCTTGCGCCATATGTGTAAATCATGAACATACATACACAGTGACACCAGACAAAGGTTAGTTTACCACCGCGCAGCTTGCCCACGGTCAGGGGCTCTCCGGAGTCGAGGTTGCCCCCTCGAACGCGCCGCAGCTAGAATATGCCGTGGGGCAGGGGCACGTGTCACCACAAACACCTTGCTCACAGACCTGAACCTGCCCTCAGTTGACCGGGTGGACAACCGCCGCATCGAGGTCATCGCGAAAGTTCTTTTTTAAACTACAAAGTATATAATATATCTATTTCAAAAATAGAATATATATTTATATTTACGTTATATTTGTTTTTTCTTTGCAGTTTGAAACCATGAACGGTGTTGCAGTTGTGAAGTTTTGCAGGTGTGAGGACGCACATATTGGATCTGTACGATGTGAAAATATGCAAGTATAAAGATCTGCATGAGAGAAAAAGGGGGAGAGAGAGAGAGAGAGAGAGAGAGAGAGAGAGAGGGAGAGAGAGAGAGAGAGAGAAAAAAAAAAAAAATAGGGGATGACTCATTGATAGATCGATTGTTTTGCACCCCCCCTTTCCCCTCCCCTCCACTGCCTCTTCCCTCCCCGTCCCCGTCCCTCGCCAGCGCTACTGGCATTCTGGAAACGCCATCGCACCACAATGTGAAGTCATGCGCTTGGCAGTCACAGCAATACGACGCTGGCCATGAGGTCTTTGGCTTTCTTCGAGGATTATCCACCTGCTTTGTCTGCATCAGAGTCGAGCTCGCCATGGGAACTGTCCCCCCTCAACCACTGAGAGTCCCTGGGGCATCGATTCAACGGTCCCATAGTCGCGCTTTGAGTTTCAGGCAAATTCGCCGCAGGTGGTGCCTGTGTGAAAAAGGTTCGGCTTCACGGTTGACGCGTTGTGTGCAGTTGTCCTCTTACGGAGTTTCCTGCTGTTGACGCACGTTGCCTGCGCGCCTCTGGGCATTCATGTGTCTTTTGGTCTTATTTCTGACTTCCTCTGGACAGGTTCGCCGGGGTTTGTCAGGAGCTTGTGCCTCCATGGGGACTTTCTTGAGTTTTCTTGCTTCTTTTCTTTTGTTATTGTTTGCCTCACTCTACGTCACTTGGAGCTGAGGCACTGGGCAGATGCTTCTGACGCCGCTTTCGGTTCGTGTTTGAGGCCCCTTACCCGCCAACGGTGGGACGCCAGGAGCTCTGTCGGGAGAGTACCTTCGACTCACTCCGTGTCTTTTGCACAATGTCGTTTGCAACAATCAGACATAAGTGCTCTTGATATTCTAGGGCCTCGTGCCTTTTGCCCAACAACTGTCGGACGTCATTATCTTATCTGGCGACTACTTTCGGTTCACTCAGTATTTTTTGCGAGCCCGAGCTTGTCTGTGCGACAATCGGGCATGCGTTTGCGGTTTGGTCTTATTTTGAACTCCCTCTGGACAGGTTCGCCGGGGCTTGTCCGGAGCTTAGGCCTCCATCGCCTCGACGTTGCTTTCGGTTTGCCTTCGGGGCTCCTTACCCGATAACTCTTGGACAATCAGGCGCTTTCACGAGACTCCTTGCCGGGCGTCGTCGGACGACAATCGTGTGATCACGGAGAGGGAAAAAAAAATATCAGGGCATGGATGCCTGCAAGAAACACTTTCTGCGCTCACGTGGTTCGCTGGTGCCAGATTGCTTCTGCAACCTGTTACTAACGCTGTACCGTGGTTCACACGTAACAATTTCATGTATTCCTTTGGGGGGGGAGTGCTTCAGCATTTCGGCTCTAGGGTAACCAATCGCGCCTTGTAGCTTCTTTCGTTCGCTCGCAGTCGTGTTTTCGGTGCTGGGGGTCGTCTTGATATATCGTCGTCGTGTCGGTCCGGTGCATCCTGCCAGGCCACTCCAGTCGAGTCTTTCGGATGGTTGCTGGGCAAACGAGCCCTTTATTGGAGCTCGTCCACCCAAGAGGCAGTGGAGCGAGGGGATTCTGTTTGGGGGGAGTACATCTTGGGTTATGTTTGTTTCCTCTCACTCGCTGACTCGCACGGTGCTTGCTATACGCCTCGATGGCTATTGCCAACTTGGCGACGGCACGCTGGCCACGTACGACGAGAAGCTTCGGTGGGTTAGTCCGGTTCTCGATGCGTCATTTTACTGCTCATGCTTTCCTTCGTGCGAAACTGACACGGTGTTTGTTCCTCTCTCACGGTGCAAGGCCCTGCTCAGTTTCAGCTTCTTGAGACTGTTGCGCCGAGTCTTGCGGCTGCCAGTGACGCAGCCAGTTTTTCCTAACGACCTTACCCATGGGGTCTTGTCCCTCACCTCCCTCGTTGGTGTTTGCTGTGTCCTTTGCTTGGCGTTCAGGTGAAGTTCGTCCCAACGACGACGCGGTTCCTCGAACACCTCCAGAAATGGTTTCAGGTGCGTCTCCTGCCTTTCCTACGTGCCTCATCGGTTATCTTTCCTTTTTTGGTTAGGCACTACCGCACGTGAGCGGTCTCGCAGTCCTTACCTCGAAAGAAAGAAGCTTTGTGTACTGGCGTCCTGTTTGTACGTTTTTCGTCTATCTTTGAGGTCCTCGCACGAAGGTTTTGCACGTGCGGCAGCTCCCGGTGAAGATCACTGCAATTGTCCGAGGATTTCTCCGTGCTTGGCCCGGTGACTATAGCAGTGTAATCCTGCCATCGCAGGAACAACTTGAAGGATGCCCTATCTATCATGTTCCGCTTGCTGTTCACGTCCCCATGAACC